GGAATAAGTACTAGTGTTCAATACCACTGTGGAATGACTATAGTTAACAATAATATATAGTTTCAAATAGCCAGAAGGAGGATATTGAACGTTCCCAACACAAAGAAATGATTAATGTTTGAGCTGATATATACAGCAATTATCCTGAATTGATTACTATACATTACATGTATCAAAATATCATATGTACTCCATGTATATGTACAATTACATGTCAATTAAAAATAAAATTAAAAAATTATGTTGTTTTAGTGTGAAGTATTTCACTAATAACTTCCCACTCTCCTCCTCATGTGTACACAAAATAAGCAAAGGAAGATAATCAGTTATTCCTTTCCTTTTCATTTAGTATCGGACCAAGCAATGGCCACGTACTGCCCTTTGGAGTTTAGATGTCTACCGTGTGGGATTCAATCCATTAGTTTATCAAATTCTTTTGTGACCTAGCAAACAAAAACTAAACAATTATTAAACCATATACAATTTGCTAAATTGAAATCATAAAGATTCTATATGTTCTTTGTGAATAATGTGAGAGATTATGTCAAAAATAATTTACGAATGTCTTATTTTTCAGACATAATTTGTTCTAATAAAATGATATACTAGTCAAAAATCACACTTAAATAATGATAAAATTGTAAAATTCTCAATGTGGAATTCAGCTAGTATAAAAGTAGAAAAGCTATACCAGGATATATTTATTACTTTTAATAAAATCGATTATTTCATTCAAATATTCTCTAAACAAATATTTATTATTTGTACACCCACAACCTAAGTGACACATTTTTAAAAAACAAACAAACAAAAAATAGATGCACACAACTTATACGTGAATAGCTCTTTGTGATATCCTTGTGAGCTGTGGGTCACAAGATCATACAGTGTTTTTAAAAAGCACTTAAAAAATCACTTTTGCCTCTTTAAGGTTTTTGTAAAAAGTGTCTCACTATTTTTGGTTTGATCACATTATATCACCTTTCTCTGAACTTGATAGCCTTTTAATATTTAACTTAATTCTACTGAACAAGTGGTGCTAAATGTATCTGCAGTCACTTACACTAAAGTTTGCTAATAGTAGAGGTTAAAATGCTTA